GAGAACAGGAAGCTAAGGAGGAGAGTGACTGTATGCACTAACCCCTGCTCTGGTTTGGAAACACCAAGGACTTACTGTGATTCAGCTGGGAGGGCAACAGGAACTGCAGTATTAGACAAATTACTCACTGTTTGACACTTGGGATCTTATAAAATGTTAGAGAATATCCAAAATTATGCAAAGTATTATTTTCTTACAGTATATTTGGCTGTGTTCCTGGCCTGTATTATTTTTCTGTGTTGGATACCTCCATCTCCAGCAAATATTAAGTCCTTAAAAGGGGTTGGCTTTTATTTTATTCTGTTTACTTTTCTGCCATCTTATATTCTAAAGAGATGTAATGGATCTGCCCAGATATCTTTCATGTTGTGAGGAGAGGGAAGGCAATAGCTTGAAAATCGTTTACAGTTCAACATTGAGCTGATATTTGTGAAGATGAAAACTTACTCCACAGCATTTTTACCTTGTGATTTGGATTCCATGGGGTAACAATCAGCTTCAAAAATCTCGTCATGAGGCTGTTTTCAAAGTCAAATAAGGAGCATCAGTGAGAACACACGACCCCCAAGTGGCTCCCCTCCAGCTTCATAACCCAAATTTATTTTTGACATTGCACCATAAGACTGAAATGATTAATCTATAATAGATTATCTCACAAATCTGCAACAGAAGAACAGAGGATATGATTTGCTTAGGATTTGGCACACTGGCAATGGCATGTCACAGCAAAGGGTTTAATGAAAAACATACAACAGAAAAACAAACTGGGGAGAGGCTGGGCTATTGCAGAGAGACTTTAACATGGTGCAAGGGAACCCACCAACCCAATGGCTGCATTGACCACTGACTGCTTGACTTACCACTAATATTTGAGCAAATAATTTCCATTGGCTTTCCAGAAAGACTTCTCTAAGTGTAGATGTTCCTCACAGCCTGCCTTGAGCTTGCATTTCTCAAGTACCTGTAAAATAGAATGAAAGGCGGTTACCCTACCTTTGTGGTTGTCCTGTGGGGTCACAGCATTTGTGTTATGAAACTGTAAAGTGCAGTTATTTGTGAAAAGTGCTGAATTCCTGGAGGAAACCCTAACAACTGGATGGCTATACCATGTACTTGTACTACTGAGTGCTCACCTTAATTTCTGAGAGTAAAGGATGTTTGTGTGGAACCTCCTGCATAATTTACTGTACTGTGAAACATTGACCATGGATAAATTTCAGCCTATGAAATTTGGTTAAAAAGGGCAAGTATTTTTTTTTTTTTCTGGGACATGGCTACCCCTTAGCCCAAACTTAGAAGCCAAAAACAGTCATAAAAAATCAGAGTAACATCCAAGTTCACAGGCACCATTTTCTGGTGACAGTAAAAATATATTTGCTAGTTAAAAAAAGTTATTGCCCTCTACTATAATTTTAAAAATTGATTAGGAACACTAGAAACTTCAGAAAAAATTCTCTCTCACCTATCTGACCTTGGTCAAATGCTGAAGAGCAACCATCAACCTGAGAGCAGGACACTGAAAAGTGGAGGGCAGAGTAAAGCATTGTTGTACTGTTACTGCCATCAATGACACCTTCATTCTGTAAAATCTCCAATTCTCTTTTTACAGTATTTCCATATTTTCTAAGTAATCTGGGATAAATATGTTGTCTAACCTTGATTTCTGCTATTTTCAGGGAGAATTACCTGCCAGTCTAGGCTGTCTTTTCTGCCATCAGAAGTTGAGCAAAGTTCTCTGTGTAGTAACAGGTTTTATTAGTCTGCAATGCCCCTTCCCTTGACCTGTTTGGACTTCTCTTTTGCTAGTGCTTCTGTCAATCCTTGGCTTTCTGTGTGGGGCCAGTGAAGGTCTCAGACTCAAGACACTTTGGCCAGAACAAAGACTATTAATTTATTTACATGCACCATCAAGCAGCAATCGTCTTTAAATTGTTGGCTGAAGGCAAAAGGGCAAGTCAGTGCTATGTCTCATGGAACTATACAAGGATGGTGGCATCAGGGTAGGTCTGAAAAGGCTGTGAGGCCAGAGAACTGCCCCATGAGGCAGCACTGCTGATAGACAGCTGTGACAGACAACATCAAGACACCTCTATGCTGTAATGTCCAGCCCATCAAAAGGAGATGTTAACAGTTTCACATAGCTGGGGTTTTGTCCCAGAGGAGAAGTCTTTCTTTGGTTCTTTGGTGTGTCTGGGTGACAGCAACTTTCCCCTTTAGTCTAACGGCTCAACAGACGAAGCTTGCCAGGGTAGTGCTGACACTATCCAGCTTCTGCAGCAGTGCACAACATAGCTGTGCACAAGGCAAGAAAGTAAAACAATATAGGAAAATAGGGATGCTGCTGCCACAAATCCTGGGAAGCTTAAATTTAAATACCTCCTTCTCCCTCTGTTGAGGCCCTGCTCCTCTCTAGAGGCTTCAGAAATTGGGTCTTTTCCTCACGCTCATCCAAGGTCCAGGAAGGGGTTTCATTTTTCTCTGCTGGGAAGTGAGATATATATGGGGAATTATGTAGGATTTTTGACCTGGTTGATAGCAAAGGCAGCAGTAACAGCTAAAATTTAGAGAGCAAAACAGTACTTCAAGCTTTTGGGGAATTGATGCAAGTGGTTCAGCTTGATGCAAATTTTTTTCCATTTACAAGCAATTTTATGAGGAAAAATATTGTCTCCATATCTACCTCTAGGCACTCCTGACCACAAGCTGAGATCTTACCGACAGACCAGGAATGGTGGGATGTCCAATGGCAGAGATTGCCACACAGCTTGAATTTTACACATATATGAAATATATACAAAATATATAGGGTTTCACATCTCCAGTGGGAAGTATCAAGGACTTTAAAAGACACAGAGGGCTGAAACGATCTGCATTGAAACAGGAGTCAGGGCAGGTCTAGGTCAAGGGTCTGGCTCAGAAAGTAGAGAGCAGCAGGGTTTTATTCCTGGCTCTACAAAGATCTGAAATAACCTCCTGACTCATGCCTTACTTCCCATTCATGGCATTCCAACCATAGAAAACCTGTTGTACTTATGAGATGCTAAAACTCCTCTCATGCTTTGGGGCTATATGAATGAGATGAAAACCCAGAGAAAGGGACATGGAAAAGCAGCATGCAGATCCTGGTCCCAGTCAGCCTGAGAGCCTGTGTCCTACTCTACCACTGCTGCTTCAAGCTCAGGAGTGCAGGTGAGTGACAATGTGTCACCCTCTGCAGCTGATGGCCCTGGCCTCAGCCCACAGAGTTCAGGGGTTTTGGCAGTACAGTGTAAAATGTAAACCAGCGGTCTTTTTTGTTGTTGTTTTTGTGAAAGCCAGTAATCACAGAACTAAAGCAGCTGGATGAACCACAATTTACTACCATGAACTCCTCTAGTCTGTGTTTTTCTAAAGGTAACAACTACAGATGCTGAGATGGCTGCACTTTGGACAAAACAAATGCTCTAACAGGATAGAGCTGTAACAAACTGTCCAAGCTCATAAACAAATAATCATCCATTTAATCACTAATTATTAATCCAATTCTGATCTTCAGTTACTCAAAATGAACTGTTTAAAAAAAGTGATACTAGTTCGTCTAAAGCAATTTAAAAACATGTGTCCAAAATGCATTGGTTTACTGTCGAACAATGTTATTACAAGAAAATTAGGACAGGAAAAATAAACTTTATCCCATGAAATCAGCCGTATGAGAGAAGATTCCTTTTGAAACTGCCCCCCCCTGAAATCCTAACTTGAGTGCTGAAGGAGGCAGACAAGCATTAACGAGCAGGGCCACAGCCTGCACCATATTCCTGCCCCTCTAAAGCAGGAGAATTACAAAATGGATGGGCATGAAAGAAATTACTGATTTGCTACACATATCTACTGCTTAGTGCCTAAAAATTTAGTTTATGGAGCCTCTTAATCTGTGTATGGAAATGAGTCAACAGCAGAAGCACTTCTGACCTCCTTGAAGATTTTAGCATCATCTCAGCCCTTCTTAAAACCTTTCCAAGCTAATAATATTGTATTCTTGTATTTTAGTGGGTTTTTTTAAATCAAAACCGTATATATTTCAAATTTGTCAAATGATTGGACAAAGCAGTGTTAAAAATTCAACTGCACTAATTACTAGCTGAGCAGCATAAAAACCTCTGAATAAATGTCAGTCTAGGAGATAAGCTCTTATCTTAATCTAATGACTCCACAGACTTAATTTGTCAGGCCAGCCTAGTTGATGAAAAACAGGTTTCTATTCTCCAGTGTTAGCAGACACATCTTTCCAAATCTTTGAAGTTGGATAGTAATACCATCAGTGTCATCCTGCAAAAATCTTGTGACCAAGCCAATTCCATTGCTATTGTCCTGTTTCACTAATTAAAGTTGTTTTACCCCCATCAGTGTGCAATAGGTGAAAATGAAGGCAATTTATTTTTGGATTTGTTATATTCTGGGATAATCATTCTTGCTTCCCACTGCCCACAACGATGTGTTAATATTTGCAGCTCTCTCTCATTATCAGAAAGCCAGGCTTTTTAGCAGGGCTCCACAGACAGCACAGTGCTATCCCAGGACAATTCCTGCAGTGCAGACAAAGCACACAAGTATGTGTGTGTGGTTTATTTGTGTAGAGAAGAATAATTTTGAGCTCAGGCAATGAATTTGATCTAAAGAGATGATTTTAGGTTTTTGAAATTTTTCCCTAAAGGAGAATTTGGCACATTTAGAACTAAATGCACCAAATGTTCATAGCGTTTGGACAAAGTGGGTTAACAAATAGAAAAAAAGAAATTAGCTGCAGCCAGTGTTTCCATTCTCCCAGTCTTCAACTAACTCTTCTGATGGGAACTTGGTAGGCCTTTTGTGCAAAGTGCCCCATTTCAAAGGATATAATTTAAGCATGGCACTCTTTATCCCAACCCCAAAACGTAGAGGGATATGCTTGGGTTTGAGGAGTTGGAAGATAAGGTTTATTCTGATGATACCCAGGAAGATGACAAAGTAACAAAAACCTGATGAAAATAATAGTGATAAGGGGCAATTTACTGAGGCAAATCCATGAGGCCAGTCCTGCTCTGGACTCTGTTGGCATTGACGTTATGAACTTTATCAATATTAGATATATTGAGATATTTACCTGCTCTGTTGTATCTGGTTTTATAGCAGTGCAACTCCACTGGCTTCAGCAGCATTTCACACCATACAACAAGGAAAAGGGAGTGGAGAGTTAGCTACCTTTTCCTGTTATTACAAAATCTGATGCCCAGAGGTGATTGCTCCGAAGCCCATGTTACTTCCCAGACTGGCAGGAGTGCAGGGTCAGAGCAGCTCTGTGTGGGTGCTGCACAGGTCATTGTGGGATTTGTTTTGGAATGCTCTGGAAGCATTTCACTGTTTGGCTGGGAACACCCTCTTGGATAACACAGATTTAATCAATTAGATGACAAATGTCCATCCTCTTGGGTGAGAACACAGCCTACTTGCAAATTCAGTCTAAGGAGGACTGCAAGGGGACCACACAGGTGATGTGCTGGCATATCTACAGAAGTACTCAGGAGCTGGTCCACGCACATTTTCTTTTAAAAAGGCTCATGTGTGAGCATGGACAGCTAGTTTAGCACCTGAGTCATCCTGGCTGTGATGTGATTGGGTGCCAATACTGTAGCAGCCAAAGCCTTCGAGCCTGTGCATGCAGGCCATGCTGTCTAGATGGGCCTCTTCACCTGCAGCAGTGCAGACCCTCAGCAGGGACAGCACAGAGGCTGAGAAGAAGGGTGGGAAGCTTCATAAGCTGCAGAAACCTTTAAATCAGAAACTGTAATTACCCTAGCTAATTGAGTTCTGCATCTGATGTATACAATGGCCTCTTCTAACATCCTGGCTAACGCATCATTTCTTATGGCATCTTCCTCTTAGCTGAGAGTCAGAATACATCTTTCTTCTTGTTTTACCCACAGCCGTGCAAAGGAGCTGAGTTTG